AAATGATTTTCATAACCATAAGGATCAACAAACATACTAATAAAAATATTAACAATATATATATTAGAAAATTAAAAATACTAATTAAACTAATAAAAAAAAAATATGATATAAATAAACAATTACTCTAAGTTTATGGAAATCATCAGCAGGCATGCCCAGAATTAATGCAGCTGTTTCATCAAAACAATTCATCCATGCACTATCTGAATTATCAGTTATACGAATTGGTAAAATATATCTATAACAAACAAACAAAACAAACAACATCAATAAATATTAATATTTAAAAAAAATTTTCCATTAGCAAGTAACATTATACCTGTAGGTTGGAGTCTCAAATGATTTTGAACATCTATCACAACTCCAATTATTGCCACTTCCAAATACTTTCTTTTTGCAAGAACCGCATGAAGGATAAATAAGTTCTTTGCCTTTATTATGTATGTAAGCAACAGTAGCCCTAACAGTGAAATAGTCAGGCTTGGAAATAAATATATAGATGAAGTTAAAGCTAGATGCATAAAAACAATAAACACATATATAAATTCATGTAAAACTATTACTTTTTCTTTACATCCTAAAGTTTTATCAGATTTAATTTCTTCTAATGACTTTTGAGCCTCTTTTATGTTGATTGATCGACTTAATGAATTGAATTCTAACTGAGATCCACCTGTACTATACCTAAAAACAATAATATGAACACATTTTTAATTAATTTAAAAATTATTATATATAATCAATCAATTCATTAGCCAATCAATAAATTAATAATCAGTAATACCATTCTGATAACTCAGTTGCTTCTGGTAATGAAGGATTTGTAATCAGGACAGTGCTGTTTGTTGTTGATAAACCTTTACCTGAGGGGATAAAAATAATTAATCACTTGCAAATAAATAAAGATATGGTACATGTATAAAATATTATTAAAGATTTTGAACCTCTAAAATCACTAACACGAGCAGATTTAATAATAATTACTGAGCCAATAGTACAATCCAAATTATCAATGAAATTCCTCCATATTGTCACCGTAATCTCATAACCACTTTTATCGACTATATCAATTTCTTGTTTTTGAAGCTACAAATAATTTAACACCAAAATAAAAGAAAATAAATCAATTGATGAACTTTCAAAAATTAACAAAAGAAACTTTTTAACAAAATATATATATTAAAGATAAATACTGTTTTTTGATCATTTTTTGTTGAAACATCAAGGATTTCATGAATATATCTAACAACACCAATAACATCTATTAAAATAATATGTATAATATTAATAAAAAAATAAAAAAATAAAAAACCATTATTAGAAATCACAATTACCAATATGAGTGTCTTTATCAATGCTAAGCAGTTTTTCAAATGTCACAAATTTGAAACTCAATTCACTATCCAAGGAATCAGTATCAGTGCACTATAAAAGAAAAAGGAAAAAGATTTTTTTAAAAAATTAATGTTATGGGGTGTAAAAACCTATGTTTACATACCAGTCTAACTTCACTGCTATTTTCAAAGTGTAATTCATATTTATGACCTTGATAAATTGGATTTTTGTTTAGAGCTACTTTCAACTTGGTCATATAATATGCCTATTTGAAATTAAATAATTAATAATTGACAGAAGATGAAGTAGAATGGGTTCAGTTTTAAAATTCATACTTTATATTTTTCCAATTTATCATAAAATTTGTCTATGTAACCATCAAATGCAGTGGCTCTAATTTCTCCCTAATTACATTGATTATGTATATTTCATTTTAGTAATCAAGTCTTTTTGAAAAGAAATAATAAATAGTAATAATAATTCATACCAATTTGTCCACTAAAACAACTCCAAACAGTGTTCCTTCACCATTTTATAACTTTTTTCTTTTTCTTGTTAGCCATATTGCAGACAAAGATGTATATAATTTTAATCTATAGGACAAGGGACTGATTGGGCAAAAACCCATCCAGTCCCCTACCCAAATTATAAATTGGTTAGTATCAGAGAAACAGAGAATTTATGAAAATGATTATACAAAACAAACACTATTTTACAATTTTTTGGCTAGCATGCCAGCAGCCTTCTTCTGGTGAGGGAAGATTAATGAAAGCGTCCTTGACAATTGATGCAGTCTTGGTAAACCCCAGGGCCATACACCCCCCCTCAAAATTCTGATAGCATCATTGTATGATCGGAGAGCCACGGTCATATTAGCCTCGTGTACTCGAGGAAGATGTGAGAGAATGACTATAAATGTTCAAGGCAGCATGCATGCTTCAACGCCTGCTAATTTCCGATAATCAAACATTGCATATTTGAATTGTTTCTTTTTTAATAGTGTATTGCCTTGACATCTTCTATTACAAAAAACAAAATGCCAATTGTTCGTTGTTGATAAGGATCTTATAATTACCCAGCAAGATCTGCTCCGCGTTTTAATTTCCAATTAAAATATTTATAAAAATACGAGTAAGAAATAGAATCTCTGGTTAGTTATTAACACTTTTTCTTTAGGAGACCCAAACAACAACACTCACGTTTTGTCACCTTGGACTCTGTCAAAAAATAAATTGTTTTTCCAAGAAAAAAAATATCAATTCGCGTCGACAAAAAAAAACAATAGCAGTCGTGGGACATGTCACAGAGAGTGTAATATGTGAAATTAAAATTTCAAATCAGATTTAAAAATATCTCGCCTTTCTAATAATAAACTTGAACTTCACTATTAAGATAAAAGAAACTACACCATTTAAGCTTTCTAACCATATATTTTTATATCTGAGAACGCACCCTATACAAAGCTATGGCTATTTAAAAGTAGTGGTGCTTTTTCACTTTAAAGTTGTTATTACCTACCAATATCGCGTTAAAAGACTTGATAGTAACAGACAAGGTGTGGATTTGTTTAATCAAACAAATGAAGACATTATTTGATTAAAAATAATTACAATTTTCTGGCTTTTGGGGCTATTATGCAAGAAAATATTAGCACTTCCGGCCATGCTGATAAAGCTGTCGGAAATTCATATTAATAAGGATTATTGGGTAATTGCTGCTCAGTTTTATTCTGCATTCTTTTCCGTGTGTTTATATTTTTCTTTCTTCTTCATAGGCAATAATTTTCTCTTTTCTTTGATAATCTTCAAGCATTTGGGTGTTATTTATTTTGAAAACATAAGGGGAGATTTTCTCACCTTGTTCTTTTTTTAAAATAATTCTTATAGTGTTGTAATTCTTGAGCTCCATTTCATACATCATTTAGGAAAGTAGAAACAAAATCGAAGAGAAAAATAGACCTTTACCCGGTAGATACTCTTGGATCAAATGATCGGTTTATACTATTGAATAGCATTCTGATCTAGCAAATTTCAATCACTTTGAACCTTTGTGATGTTATGTTCAGTTTGTCTGGTTTTGTTGCAGCCTGTCTATCCCAAATAAAAATACCTTTTGAGTTTAACGTATTCCCATGAGCCTTGGATATTGAGTTTTTTTTTTTTTTTCATTAATAATTAATACCATCATCTCTTTTAGTTAAAAAAATTTATTCATTAAAGGCATGTGGCAATCAAAGTCATGAGATAAAAGTTATTGTCACGTATAATTAATATATTTGTAGAATAAAAAGTCATAATCAATTTAAAAAGTAAATGGGAATAAGTAAAAGGCATATAATGTCTGTATAAAAAATGTTTATTAATTATAGCTTTAAATTTATCGAGTGTAGTTTGCATAATTAATTATTCGTTATTGACATTTATCGCAACATTATTGTTTTATTAATATTACTGTTATAATTGGTATTGGCATCATTTTTATTATTTAATAAACCCATTTCAATTACTCGATTATCATTATTGTCAAGAACATTATTGTTATTATTATGACCAATAGCTTCATTATCAACTTCTCTTGCAACATTTCCATTTCTACTATTTCCTCTCTCCTCATCCTCATCTTCACTATTCCAATCTTCTATAAATTTATAGTGTGCAGGTATATGATCCAGATAATTCCCATTTCCGATAAACCAATCTGAATTACCAAAATGTAATCTATAAGATATTAAACCTGAAAAAATTCCTAGAATTACACCTGTTATAACTTGAAATGGAAAATGACTGAAATCATTTATTCTTGTAATTGAAACCCATGATGCAAATAATAATGGAAGGCATAAAATTAAAACCTAAATTGAGTGTAGTTGTTATTCGATTCCATCAATTTATTAAAAATTAAATATTACAGAGAGAATAAAACTGCATGATGACTTACTTTCCACAAATGTGAACCACCCGCCCATGGCTAAATAAATAAATAAATAAATAAATGGATAATTCAATATTATCCATGATGACTATATATCATTTACCTTTGCTTTACCATTTATATATAATATGAAGAAAACCCATCCACCAAACGCGGTTGTTGAATGTCCACTTGGAAATCTTTATAATAATAATGATTAACAAAATAATGATAAATTAATTAATTAAAACAAAGTTGTAAATAAATAATTAAAAAAATCATCACTGATTGATTAACTGCGAATTAATTGATTAGTTAATTAATTAGTTTAGTTTACCCTTGAAATTCAGTACTTTCTAATTCTCCTGTACAAACATCATTTGTAAAATATTGACCTGACGAAGCATTTGCTGTTAATGATGGATCTGGTTGACATTTTGTTAAAAATGTTGGTCTAAGGCATAAAGATCCTCCAACAGTTGCCCACCCAAATGATGAAAAAAAAAATGCTATTACTTAAATTAAAACAGATAAATAGACATTTTATTATTCTATTATTTTATTTATTTTATCTCCAATAAAAAAAATACAATTGATTACCAGCACTAGTGACATGACCTGTAAACATATGATAAAAATTCCAAATGTCAAAAAAAAATATCAACTCGAGTAATATTAATATAACACCAGGTACAAATGTATTTATTATTGTTGCAACGTTTGCTGAAATTATTTCAAGAACAATTGGTTTCTTTAATGACTCATCACTAATTGAAAAATATGGTGCTGTTGGCAAAGTCGTATTTTTAAACAACCTGAAATTATAAATTTATTAATTAAAAAATCAAAATCAAAAAATTCAAATTCATTAATTAAATAATTAATTACCAATTGCTTAAAATGAATATAGCAATAATTAGAATCCAATCAAACAATAATCCTAGAAAGACCTTATTTTTTCTGGATGGGAAATTCCATGGAGACCAATATTTATTGTAATTAATGGATGATGATTTAACGTTATAATAATCTTTAGGGAGCTTTATTAAAGGTAAAAATTTAAATTTTTTTTTCATTATAAAAGAAAATATTATTTCTCGTAAATTCTCCAAAAAATTTTGTGGGAAAATCCAGGACCGGGAAAACTCTATTGAATGTGACCGCCAACACTATGATTCGAAAGTACTTTAAAAAAAAAAATGTGATCGCCTCACTATAGATTCGATTAATAGAAAATGGAAAAGGTCACCGCCTTTATATAATTCGAAGGAAAAAATGTCCTCGGTTACACTATAATTCGCATTATTAATAAAAAAAATTTATCTTGGTCATACCAAAAAAAAAAAAATGAAAATTCAAACTAAAAATAGTAAAAGGATTCATGCCAATTACATTTTACTACATACCCTAACTTTCAAGAATTTGTCAATGCTAAAAAAGTTATTTGCAAATGTGGTCAAATTATTTCACTTGGAATCAATTATCAAGTTGCAAACTTTAAAAGACATTCCGAGAGTAATAATTGTAATTTTTTAATAAATAATCAACATAGTGTCAAAGCATTCTTTACAAAAAGTAACGACATGCATGGGTAGAAAAGCCAGCAGGATTTTTAGATCATTTATCATATATTTCTATTAAAGTTTATCTTCCCAGTATCACAACGGTATTTTTCATGTGAAAATTTTGCAGGAGGAGACATTACAATTCATATTACACCACGAGAAATAGTTTATTTTTTGGGAATACGTTCTTATTCTAATATTAATGACATTAATCCTTGTTTGATTGCAGTAGATGATGAAACATTTTAATTTATAATCATTTTAGTATGTCAAGTACACAAAACTTCCTTTTAAATATTTTTAATTAATAAAGATAAATTTCATATGTCCTTGGCTGATTTCGATTCGCATTATTAATAATTTTTTAAATGTGTTCGGAAAATTGATTCGCATAATTATAAAAAACTAAGATTCGCATTAATATGATTTGCCATTTAATTTGGCTATAGAGTTTTCCCAGTCCTGAAAATCCATCACCTAAATATCAATAACTGGTGTAACGAAGACTTAACATTTAAATCATTCTACTTATGTAAACAAGATTTTAATAGGTTGCGGCGAGTTCGTGTAACCATCACATTACACAAGCATCAGCGTGAAATTTTTTCAGAAATTTAAAAATTTAATACATCACGATTTAATTACATTCAATTTTTTACAAAGAATACTTTTTTTTTTAATATTTTAATAAAACAATTTCCCAAATTGTTACATTTTCTTCATTTTCCCCAAAAAAACTTTAAGAAAAGGAGGAGTTGTTCCACCTAGCAGAGTTGTAGTGGGAGTAATAACTACTACTAATAAAAAGGATAAATATCAAGTTTAAAAAGCAAATGATAACAATCAACCAGTTCCAGTTAGTGAAGCAATGGATATGGAAGAATTGATTTTAAAAATTAATTAAATAATTTTTTTTTAAACAATAATGAATTAATTCCAAATTGTTTTTTTAGTGGCAATGCTAATACTAAATCAATAATGGATTAATTTCTTGCTGGTATTTTTAGTAGCAAGAGATGATCGTTTTTACAAAAAGCTTAATTAATTTTCTTTAACAACACATTTTTGGAAAAGGCTCGATTTTTTAATCAAGTGATTTCTTTTTCATATTTTTTTTTTTTTTTACTTATTATAACAAGCTTATAACTGAGAACGCAATGTGAGCCTTTTGCTTTTCGTGTTATAAAACACACATACCGTTCTACACGAGAATAAAAATTCAATTAAGTTGGGTTTTGCATCTTCTTCGTCGCAAAGAGCAAAAAAATGACATCACTCGGGCCAAGGCAATAGTCTATTTTATTAAATTCGAAACATATAAATAGG